TACCTATATAATAAATGTTTTTTTAATATATATGTAACATATTAAAAACCAGTTATTATAAAATAGCAATATCTTTAAACATTATTTAAAAATAAAAAAGTTTAAGTTATTATTATTTCACGATTAGGCAACGTTATTCTTTCACTTAAACACTTCGTAAACTACAGAAATAAAAAAAAAAAAATAAAAACTTCTTATATAAATACGCAATACTTTTTTCCCGCAGTAAGTAGCGCCACTCGAAACGGCTGTTTCTCAACGAAAACAGAAAATGACGTCGAAATTTCCCGCCATAACTTATACACCTTTTACGTCAGAGAGTCGTAAAGCGTATTCTTAATTTAAATGTATAAAGATAAGTAATCATTCCTATTTCGTGTAATAAAACAATTTATTTAATAATCGAAAAATCTGAAACCGCGGCAATAAAAAAAGTAGCCGAATAAACTGGCTCTGTCCCAAAAACAAGGGCGTAAAATATGCAGGCTGGCGATATCGAGCGGGGGCGGGTATGACGTCACTCTACGACCCCTGCCCGACAGTCTGCCGCCGAAAACTCCGTGCCTATGCCTCCAGTCCTATTCAAACCTCTTGATCAATCGTGCCTCAACAAAACCTCCCGGCTGGTTGAATGGATTAATCCTCCGTCAATCAGTGACATTTTAAAAAGTTACTCCGTTCTATTTTTGAATATCATTTAGGCTTGTCACTCCGTTTTGTTCTTTTTTTGTCGTTTCTCATTAGGTTGAATGAAAATGGTTGCCAGTGTGAAATATCTTTTTTTTTGTTCATATATTTTTGGAAGCTGTAGCTAAGGTGAGCTGCTTATGTAGTTAAAGTCTATAAAATTTATTGTAATAAATAGCTTGATAGTTTTAGCTAGTGGATATTTTGCATTATTCCATTATTTATTATAATATATATTGTTGTGTATATTACTTATATATTTAATGTAATTTCTAATGATAATTAAACCATTTTCCGGATACAAAATATATACCTTCTTTTTCTGTAAGTTTTTTTTTTAAATTTTGAATGTATTATATTCTTATATTCATATATATTTCGACAAAATGAACTCTATTTCAAATACTTAATCAATATAAATGAAATTAGGATATTTGGCATGTTATTTAATATTTAACTTATGGTGTCCCTAAGTTGTATAGTGCGCATTTGATTTTCGCATTCCCCAGTATTTTCAAGTATTGTGACGGCATGTTTGTCTGATTGTCTGTGTGTTGTGCCTTGCATGCAGTCGACACGCCTCGCCTGACTCGACCAATGACAAGCTACAAGCCCTTGGTAAGATCTGTATACCAATATTTTTCTTTTAATTAACTTTTATTTCTAATTTCTTCGACTTTTAATACTTTGTTTGATTAAATTTCATTATAAATTGAAATTAGATACATAAAATTATGTAAAAATATGTAAATTGACCTTTATTTGCTATAAAATAAACAAAACAGCATGGTAACCAGGAATACGACGGAGGCAGGAATTATAACTGGAACTAGAGAACCTATTACTGGCAATGCATCATGTCAGGTCGACCTCCTCTTGGACCCTCCTGAAATTATCATTGTTAGTTACCTGTGAATTAATCTTGATAAACCCAAATAATTTGACTTTATCCTCACCTATAAATTAATAAATTGTAAAATAAAAAACAAAATTATGTTACGTGAACTGTTTGGTCTGCAGTAGGCTGCCTAACCTTACTCATTAAGCGATAGGAAGAAAGAAAGAAAGAAAGAAAACATTTATTGACAACAACAAATAGTTACATAAATTATGAATTAAAAAAAAACATAGTTTGGGTTATCGTTTTTTACCGACTTCAGAAGGAAGGAGACATTCAATTCGGTTCCATTTTTTGAACGTCATTAACTTATAACTCCGTCACTTATAAATCAATTCGGAAAATTCTTTTTTATCTAAACTCGTTTGGAAAAAATTGGCTCCGTAGAAATTTTATCGAAATCGGTTCAGTATTTTATTAAAAAAAATAACGGCTGATTTTTTTTTTTTTTACAAAATAGGGGGCAAAGAGCATGCGGCTCACCTGATGGTAAGTGACTACCGCCGCCCATGATCACCCACAACACCAACGGCATTGCAGGTGTGCTGCCGGCCTTTTAAAAGGGAATATGCTCTTTTCTTGTGATTACGATATGTCAACAATTCTTTAAAGATTTCCTCAATTCATTTTACCATCAATAGGATTCGCTTCTGCATTAATTCTGTAACAATTGAAACTGTATCTAAGCGAAAATTGTCTAAACTTTGACTCCAAATATAGCAATTTTTATTTCGTTTCAAAATAATTTCTCGAATCAAGTCCTGGCTTCTATTCTCGATTGCACCTGTTATTTTATGGGTGAAGATGAAATGGTAACCCTGCCTGCGCTATCGGTATACGCTGGCAGGGTACCAGTGACGGGTGACAGGTGAGGATGAAGGCAAGTCAGTTGGCCCATAGTGATCAATTGAACATGAATTGACCACTCTGGTTTCCAGGGGGAACCGCGTGGAGGTCGACCTGATATAGGGTATATTGCTAGCAATGGGGTTGTTAAATCTCATTATTAACAATCCCTCCCCCCCCCCCCCCCGATTGGACCTGTTATATATGTATATTGCGAAAAAGGAAATGTTACGTGGCATGAAATAATGACGTTCTTTATGACCGGTAAGCATAGACTAAAAATGCGTTCTCTAATGTTTTATATTGCAGATGCGTTCATATCATAACAGGACCCATTTAGGAGACGAACTTATTATAATCCAGGCCAATGCCACACCCTTGATAGCTAAGTAATTGATGTGATTATGTGTGTGTGGTAATAATTTATTTATGTACAGTTTTTCTGTCACTTCCTCCATATTCTTATTTGACCTCAACAGCTGTTTTAGGAGCTTTCAATATATATAATATACATAATATATAATTTAAAATATAACCCCCTTATTTATAAAAACTAAAACCTTTTAAAAACCTATTTTGACTATTACACTGTTTTGTTATTTTCATTCAAATTGGGAATTTAATGTAAAAGAAAGAATTAAAGCAATTTAATAGCTAAAAACCTATTTTAGTGATATAAAAGGTTTGACGTTATATAAATATATATATATGATGACTTTTGACTACCTAGTTCTTTCATCGTCTGTTGAGACGTGTTGAAAGGAGATTTTCATATTTTCTATATTTTCGTCATAAAATCGATCTAAATGCTAATTTACTATAATCAAAATAAAATAAAAGGCACGTTGAGTGTATCGGTACAGGTGTTATCATTCTCTCACTCATTTATGCAAACGACGCGTTCCCGTGAGAACGTAAACGTAAACAATAACCTTAACGTACTGTTGCAAGTTACAATAAATTAATATTGTGAACACGACACTATGTACTTACTGGCAACACTTAGCGTTATTGGTATCTAAGAACAAGGAATTACATAGGAGGAATGATAAAATAAAAACTGTAAATCATAATATGGTTGCCTCCTTTCTTTTTATGCAAATATAATTTGTAAAAAGAGGACGAAAGATACACCATCCGTTGTTATTTTTCTCAATTCATAGCAGGATAGTGTACAGAAAATGTGTATGTAAAGTCTTTGTTCATTTACATTACTAGATTATATATTCGACACAGTTTATGTAGAAAGATGCAAGCAGGTTGCATCTGAATTTGGTAGGGTTATACAGCCGTATAACCCTACTAAATTCAGATACAACCTATCAAACATTTTCTATACACTAGCCTGTTATGGATTTAGAAAAATAGCAACTGATGGTGTATCTTTCGTTTTCTTTTTACTTATTTTATTTTCATAAGAATAAAGGAGGCAACCATATGTTTACAGTTTTTACTTTATCATTCCTTCTATGTAATTCCTTGTTCTGAAACTGGTGCAGAGGGTTGCTGAGGTGTGAGGTTGCGCGCGCATTGCGGAACAAACACGTGCCAGCTGTTTGCAGTAGATACCAGGCCCGCGTCACTTCAAACAAAAACAAGTTTATAAGAAATCTATGCAATCGGTTCATTGTATTTGAAAACTTTACACTATAAAGTTTTATTTTATATATTAATATTGATAATTGGAACTATCCCCCTTATTCATAAAAACTAAAACCTTCTAACCTATTTTAACTAGTGTACAGTTTTGCTACTTTCTTTCTAATTAAGAATTTAGTATAAAAGAAAGAGACAAAACTTTTTAAATAGAAAAATAGGTCTAGATTTGATTTTTTTGTGTTTATTTACTTGTTCGTAAACACAAAACTACTTAACTGAATTTAAAAACTCATTTACCTATAGAGAGCTACATTATCAACGAATAACATGGGCTATTATTTATCCTAAAAGACCCTTGCAGTGCTGGGGCAGGTCACTAGTTCATTAAAATAACTAAACTATACATTTAACATTACATTATTTTTAAAATTAATAACACGAATTCGAAAATTAAATAATATGATTTAACTTTTTTTTATTTATGAATAAGGGGGTATATAAATATTCATTTATTTTATTCTGTTGATACTTCTAGGTAGTTGCAAAAATTCATTTTCCAATTTCGTCAATATAAGGATAGTGCTGACTTTTGATGTAGTGATAGTAGTATAAGAACTTTTTCTGTTTTTTTTTAATAATATGTTTTACGGCTCTGGATGCTAGGCACTTAAATCATGGTACCATTTTTCCACTTAATTTCCTAAAGAAGGAAGAGTAATGATTTGTGGTGTGTGAATAAATATAATGTAATTATTTAGTATATTTCACAGCATTATTATTTTATATTAGTAGGTTGTAAGTAACTAGGTAACTATAATTCTCACTAACTGTAAGGATTTTTTACTTTTTTGTCTACAATACGAATCCTGGTTATCCCGTTTAGTAAACATATGTATATATATACATATATAATGCATGTATGTGTGTGTGTGTTAATAGGCACTGATCAACTTGTTTGTGTCCGTTACAGGGCTCAGCAGATTCCAACTACTCTCAACCATCATCGGAACTGTCGCTCGACGAAGACAAGGAGGCGCTGCGCCGCGAGAAAGAAGCGCAGGCACTCTCACAGCTCGACAAAGCACGGGTGAGACGGCGTTTTTATACATCTGAATATAACTACCGAACCCTACTACTAACAAACCCCAAACATACAAATCTGATCAAGAATTTGAAATTTATAATGAAATAAAGAAGCTCACATACATATTTATTTATAAATTTACCCTTTATTACGCACTTTATTCATTCAGATTATAAAATAAAAAAACATTATCAAGAAGCCAAGCTTTGGGTTTAATTTCAAATATATACTTATCTTGACATTTAACGTCTAAAGAAAGATGGTTTAATACCGATTACAATTGCACTTTTTCTATAACTATTTACTGTTGGTGGACAAATATCATATTTATATTTATTTTATCCTTATATTCGCATATAGGGTCATATACGTTATATAAATATGTCAAGTCTTGCAATCCATTTCTTGCGCTACAAAAATTTGTGAGAGTTCATTTTAAACCATATCAGTTATTTTAGTTAGTATCTATTCTCCAACAACTTTGTTTTAAATCGTTCTCTAAACAATTATCTATCAATATTTATAGTGACCGTATTAGTATTCTCTCTCTTCTCATCTCTTCTCTTCTGTTCTCGGGACACTAATTCATGCATTCTCTTCCAGCCAGCTCTATTCCGGGCTATATCTTTGACTTCCCTAAACGAAATATAAACCTAGTGTTTTTTTCATCTGTTCCATGTAATCATTTCTCGGTCTTTCCCTTTCTCTTTTGCTCGCTATTTTTCTTTTCAGTGTGCTCTTTAAAAAAGACGCCTTATAAGACGCCCCTTTGGCCCCTTCTATTCTCTATTACTTTTATTAATGTCCTTTTTTCATTCACCCTTTTCAAGACTTTCAAATTCGTTATTTTTTCTCTCCGTATCAGTATCAGAAATCATTATTTCTATAATAATTATAATGAGTTCACAATAACCGGCAAATCAGTTACGGAGTTATAAGGTAACAAATATAGAAAAAATACAACCGAATTGAGCACTTCTTGTATCACTCAACATGTGATGCCACTCGAATATGAGTAAAAATAGAACTATACGAGTACTATGTACGAACTACAGTAATGATACGTAAATACATTGCAGTAGAGTTTTATGATGGTGCTTGGTTGTCTCTGCTTGTCCAGTGATGACCTTGACATGAAGATTGATAGATATATTTTTTATACAACTTAAAATGGCATACAAGCTGACGGCCCACCTGATGGAAATTGGTAAACGTTGCCTATAGACATGAACAGTACTGTGGACATAAGAGAAAATACTGTTTCGCCCATGATACACCCCATGCGTTGCCATTCCTGAGGACTCAGGCGCTATTATTTAGATATTATTATGAATGTTTTTCTAGTTTTCTCTTCATCATCGACATCATCATATCAATCATTATCTGCTCGCTGCTGAACATAGGCCTCCCCTATTGGGTTTTTTTGCCAATAGGTGCCATGCTTAGCAGGGTAGTTGACAACTGCAGTTAGATTTCTGGTAACTTTTAAGAGAGATACTGCTGGGCATTCCTGAACAATTAAATTCTCTTAATCGCTTCTTACGACACCCACGGCAAATTAAGGGAAAGTCCTTTCTATACTGGGACTAGACTGATACAATACTTATTTAGTAATAAGAATCATAAGATTATAATGTATATTTTTTACAATTTCCAGTCGAAGCCCGTCGCGTTCGCAGTTCGCACAAATGTGTCCTACGATGGCACGATCGACGACGATTCGCCCGTGCACGGCAGCGCTATCTCCTTCGAAGTGCGGGACTTCCTGCACATCAAGGTAAGCCCGAGAGATTCATTGTTCAATTTAATTCTTCTCAAATTTCGAGACACTTATATAATAACACACAATACACTTATATGCTTTCAAGGTGTGGAGCAGATCCAATCACTTTTTTCTCTTGTGAGATTCTTATATTGTTTTAATAAAGTTACGTTCTTACCAAGAATTTATCAGCATTTGATATGAAATATTCGAATAGTATATGCGCAAAGTTGTTTGCGTGGTAGAATCTGAAACAAACATATTAGCAAAAGAACCAACATAACCCGAAGGATAGGCAAGCTGAAGTAGCAATAGACTGATCACATAGCTCGATCACATATCGACAACCGATTGAGAAGAAATGTTCTTTAGTGGCAACTCCGTACGGGCAAACGCAATGTAGGACGATTGCCCACTAGATGGAATGACAATCTCAGTGCAATCAATTGCAGTTGCAGCGAGTCAGTGGATGCAGGTGGCTCAAGACCGTTTCTTATGGTAGTCTATCGGGGAACCTATGTTTAGCAGTGGGACCTATGTGTAGCAGATAATAGCTGAAATAATAGTGATGATGATTCGAATAGTATGGATTTTAAATTGTGCGTTACAAAGCTAATAAGTACGATAGCAGAAAGAGATTTTTTATGTTATGATAACGTTCAAGTCAGTAGATTTTGTATGGGCATCATAGTATCTGAAAATATCTGCTAGAAGCACGGCTGGTGTTTATATATATTAAACAATGGTCTTTTCTGTAGTCATTTCTTATAATATCCTAGGATGATAAGGAGTAAGACTCTTAAGATTTTTTGTAAATCAATTCTCTACTACATTTTTCAAGCAGGTGGAATGGCAAACAACAAGAACAAGTCCATGGGCTGATCTTCAGATGATTAGAACACATCGTGTGTAATACCTATGATATAACTCATTTTTGAAAACTATTATGTCTTTGTACCCTATAATTTAAATGGCATACGCCACTATTCATACTAAAAGCAGTTACACGACAGAAACTTGAGTAAGACAAAGACCAAACAGACGACTTTTTTTTTAAATCTCCTTTTTTTAACGACCACTAATTGTTTAACTTTCCACCATTCCAGGAGAAGTACGACAACAATTGGTGGATTGGGCGTCTCGTGAAAGAGGGCTGCGACATCGGCTTCATCCCGTCGCCGGTGAAGCTGGAAACGGTGCGGGCAGGGCTCGCGGCCCGGGGACGGTACCCGCGGCCGGCCTCCGCCGCCAACCTCGCGACCGCACCGCCCCCCCTCCCCAGCCGAGGTAGCACACCCCCCACGCCCGGTACGTCACGCTCACCTTCATGCTTCATGCAAATTTAGTTGTGATGTTAATGCTTCTTGCTATTGCATAGTGATTATAGATTATTAGCAATCAGTGACTAAACTGCACTACAATACTTAAGACATTTGGAAAGATTTCAAATACTGCATTTGGAAATTTTAAATTAATAATTAAATTCGTTTGGAGATACTGTTCGTTACAATTCTCCAATTTGTGCCTACAAACATTTTAATGCCCGGCTACGCAAAAGCAACTCTTTTCCTGTTGCAGGTAGTTATGGGCAAGTTGCCCATGAATACCGTTGAATTAATTACCGTTGCCCTGGGCAACGGTAATTTTTCTTTTCATCAGGTGGGCTGCCTGCTCGTTCATCTCTCTAACAATAAAAGAAATATTCGAAACGTCTTGATTCGATAAAATTCTATAGAAAAAATTGGGCATTCTAATTTAAACTACACAAAGTTGAGAATACTGTAGTTGGATTATTTTTTTTTTTTTGTGATTAACACCTTTGTACATGTATTTATTCTAAAAATTGTTTAAGTAATAATAATATTAATATTTATTTAATCAGACAACATGTGGTCCATTGTGTTAATTATAAATTGACTTAACCTATGTTAGTAAATGAGCGATCGTGACGCTCTTGCATTGATAAACTGCCCCACCCAATATTTTAGAATGGGACAGTCCATTAATGACTAGGGTCTTGTTTTTATATTTCTGTTACGCAATTATTATTATGTAAATAGATAAAAGACTGTAAAAGCACAATTCAGAGGTAGCACCTGATGGTAGTGATTATAGAAATTTTACACGTGTAAGTTTTTATAATAAAAATACTACTATAATAAAAAATGGTATTTTTGGCGCAATAATTTTGTTATAATTGTTTTATTCTATTATATTTAAGAAATAACTGATTTATTGATGGAAACATTCAGGTCATTTATTTTAAATTATTTTAACCGTCTTTAAAAGAAAGAAGTTCTCAAATCGGTGGTATTTTTGTGTTCTTTACTTCATAATTGAAAGATGTGATTAACTTAAAGATTAACATAACTTAATTGTAAATTAACAATAACATAAACATTTTCTGAATAACAGTTTTGAATATATATGTTGGATTTTTAATATATATATATTTGGAATTGGAAAATTCTACTTTTATCTGAAAGGATATACTTATTGCTTGATCTAAAAAAATTTTATCAAAATCGGTTCAGCAGTTTAGTTTTTAAATCTAAAACTAGTATTTACTAGAATCGAAGTTGATTACTTTGTAAATTTTGAATTATTTTATGGGTACGATATCCTTTAATTTATTTATTTTATAAAAAGTTACCTTTATTTAGTAAATATCAATAATTGTAACTTAACAAAACGTCACGAAATTAAACATATACGCGCTATTTGAAATAGTGAAAAACATTGGTCATTTTTAATGCGGACCAATAATATATGCGAGGAACAGACTTTACTTTTAAATGGGTGATAATCAAATAGTAACCCCACCTGCGCTGACGGTATATGCTGGCGGGGCACCAGTGAGGGGTGATAGATGAGGATGAAAGCATCGTGAAGAATTCCACGAGAAGTAACCACGATGGTTTCCAGGGGGAACCACGTGGATATCGACCTGATTAGTAACATTACTAGCAATGGAGCTGATTAGATCCCATCGCTAACAATCCCTTCCCCCCAGTGACACAGACTTGAGCACGAGTGGTACAGACTTATAAATCTATTATAATGTGTGAACTTACTGTTTATCTAAAAAAAAAATACATTTCTTATGCAAAGGAATTATTATATGAAACAATAAACTAATTTATTGCTTTTTTTATGAGATTTTTATTTAAAGTTTTTTTTTTTATTTATTAAAGGTATTTCGTCCGTTTTTTTTTTTCAATTTTAATAATACAGATTATACTAGTTTAATAGCCTGACAATTGGTGACACTCTGACACTTAATTAGTTTAATTTATATAGCTGCTTTGTGCCAATCCGTACCTACTTAGTCACGCGATGTGCATACCACATATACAGGTTTTAAGGAACACCAATGCAATCCTTTGAAGTGACAATTTTATCCTTGATACTGGATTACCTATTTATGTCCAATTTTGGTAAAAAAAAATAAAAAAAAAATATAATTTTTATCATATGATTGAAGACTGAGAGAACTTTGCCATCAAAACATGTGAATGAATTTAAATACAAAACAAAAATATTATATCGGTTTGAAGAGTGGGATGTGGCAGCAAAATTACAGCGTACGGAGGCATAATATCTTAGTCCTCAAGAATAGCAACGCATGGAAGCTATCATGGGCGATATAGTACTCTGTTATGTTTATAGTACTGCTCATGTCTATAGGCGACGGTTACCACTTTCCATCAAGATAGCCATCAACTTGTTTGCTATTCTAAGTGGTATAAAAAATAATATAAAAAAAAGTTCTTCTCATTAGCATTATTATTGTAATTAATTTTAATTTCTGTACACAGACTAGATCTTACAGTAAATGAAAGAAATTTATTGCTGAAATGCAATTAATATATATATAAATAATACTTTATGTCCTATGCCCTAAACTAGTGCTACACTATTGACAGATTAAACCGTATTAGTCAAAAAAACAAAATACCGTACGTCACTATTGTTATTCTTACTCTATTCCACCTCATAGTGTCGCTAGCAATAACGATTCTATAAAGATCGAATCGATTCCCACTTATCTAGTAGGATTGAATTAATGAAAACTCTTTATCGTTCCCTTTAAAGAAGGACATAGATTATAAAGATTAACAATATGTACACAAACAAAAGTAATAATTTATTATGTAAACTTAAAAACAAGATAAAGAAGCAACAATGGGCGGCCTTATCGCTAAATTTAAATCAATTAAAATTTGTTATACCCAAACAAGGTTGTACCCAAACATTGTAACAACTCTGTATTATGTACATGAATGCAGTATAATAAATAAATAGTGATCTTTTCCAAGCAACCTTATTGATTGATTATTCTTATAACAAATAATACACATGGTGTATTTGTTTTATTAAAATTGTCCATGTATCCTACTTTTACCAAAGGATTGCAATGTTATCCATAAAATCCTGTCTGTACACATATACACATAACCACTTTGTCACACATGAATGGTATACTGGTGGTATTTGATGGTATTTCCTGGTTCTAGCACTCACTCTTGCCATGTTTTCAGATGCTCCTAACTTCTGTCGAGGTAAGATCACTCACACATGTAAACACCGGGAAATGTTGTCAATTGTCACTAGATTGTCTATAATTAAATATATGATTTGGGCCTTGTTATCTATAATTTATATTATGTAAGTTTCTATTAAAAAGAAAAAAAAATTTACAACTGTAAAAAAACCTTACTTTTTATTTTCATATTGTCCCATTATCCATTACATTGTACATACACTTCAAATAGTTTGTATATATTTATTTATTTATATATATATATATATTTAATTTATAAAACGTAATAAGTTTTCTTTTATCTGTCTACCTGCCCAAAATATCTATTTTCTAGTATTCAAGTGATTTTAAATGTATTTACGTACAACATGAAGTATTCTGTTACTAACATATTTCGAAATAAGTAAATATTGTTTCGCAAGAAAACGTCTTTAGTCACGATTGCATCTTCTTGGAGAGTTTTTGAAGAAAAATTAAATGGGCTTAGAGAAAATTCGATATTTTTTTTGACATTATAGTATTTATAAGGCGTATAACGTACGTACATATAATACGATATATCAATGAAGGTACGTAAGGCATTGCATGGCAAAATGTATTAAAAACAGACACAAGTTTGTGATTGGTTACAAATAAAAGAAATCATACCGATTTGGAGAAACAATATTTGACAATTGGGTGAAAATTAAAAAAACGCACCTGGCAACCTTGGATTCGTTTTAATATTGCGTGTTTACATCTGATTAAAGTGTTTACATACGTAATTTGCTTCGTAACGAGCAATTCTTTGCTCCACAAAGAAAAAGTACATTTTCAATCGTTGTAAAATACCTGCCAAGCGTGACAACTACTGACAAAACCCCTCTTTATGGTATATGTTCAGCAGGACAGTTACGGCAGATACGATACAATATTTTGATAATAGTCTGAGATACTCATGCCTATAGGCGACGGTTACCACTTTCCATCAGGTGGGCCGTCAGCTTGTTTGCTATTCTAAGTTGCATAAAAAAAGATAGGCGGGATACATTTACAATAACTATGTACATTAGTAACGCATAGAGTAAAACAGTATGTCATCAACTTCTAAAATTTGTCGACGGACCTTAAAAGTACTCTTTAGGGTCACTCTGTGAATTTATGATCAATTGATAAAGGTATACGATTTCTGAATTTATTAATTAAATTTTATGTACTTGTACCGTGATTGTACATACTTCAGTGATGTAAATGAAATAACAAAACAACTGTTCTATCTATATACTCGTACTAGCGGGATATCCTGTCAGCCTTTAACTGTCCACTATTGAATATAAGCTTACCCCCTTGGGGGGTTTTATCAGTTATTAATATATATTCTTTATTGCACTAAAACATACAGTAACAACAATAAGTTAATAACAATGTTAGCAAAGGCGAACTTATCTCTAAAAGAGATTTCTTCCAATCAACCTAACATAGTGGCGTTAATGTATGATAATGGAATGGTAACCCCACCCGCGCTATTGGTATACACCGGCGGGGCACCAGTGAAGAATAATAGGTGAGGAGATGAAGTAGGTCAGTTAGCCCATCGTGACGAATTCAACGAGAATTGTTCGCTATGGTTTCCAGGGGGAACCGCGTGGAGGTCGACCTTATAAGGCATATTGCTAGCAATGGGGCTGTCAAACTCCATTACTAACAATTCCTTTCCCCCCAACATAGTGGCGTAGGAAGTAGTGAGTGGGCAGCAGTAGTGCAAGACAAATTAAAATAAATATTTACATAAATTATAAATATAAAATAATTCTACGCTTGGTAGGCGGATTAGCAACCGCGGTTAGGCTTTGGAGATGTTTTAAGTGGGACGCTGCTGCCCATCCCTCGTTCTTTCATAGTCGCCTCTTACGATACCCACGGGAAAGGAAGAGGTGGCTTGTTCTATGCAGGGACCACATGGTTCATTTTTGGCTATTAGCGGGATATCAGTGACGGATAATAAGTGAGGATGAAGCCAAAGCAGTTGGATCTTTTTGTTTACCAGGAATTAAACAGAATGGTTTCCATGGGTTTCGTGATATAAGCTACTTGAAAAGTAAATATATTATAGGGATGCGTAATATATAGCAATATCTATGTATTGTAGTTGCAATATCTATTTATTGGTCCAATAATAAATATTTTAAAAGTCTATTATAAAAAAAAATAATATTGGATAACAGATTTTTAACATATTCGAAAATAGATATCCGACCGATCGAAATGGATGATATGATATATATATATATATATATATATATATATATATATATATATATATATATATATATATATATATATATATATATATATATATATATATATATATATATATATCGGATCAGTATTCATATTACCCATGTTAACAATAAGCGTGTTAATCTTCGTTACTAAGGGTCCCGTCCCTCATGTACGTGAGACTAAATTCAAGCTTTATAGGACGTCGCACTAACGCATACTTTCTCCCAGCAGGTGAGGACTCCGATTCGGCAGGGCGGGGCCGAGGAGCGGGTGCGCTGCCCGCTGGCAAGGACAAGCGGAAGCCGTTCTTCAAGAAGCAGGAAGCGTGCACCCCCTACGATGTGGTGCCATCCATGCGGCCCGTCGTCCTCGTCGGACCCTCGCTCAAGGGCTACGAAGTTACGGATATGATGCAGAAGGCGCTGTTCGACTTTCTAAAGAGAAGATTTGAGGGCAGGTCTGTCATTGATAACGAATATAGGTTGCTAACTTTACTGTAACATACCTATAGGTAATTTAAACGTACCTAAATTATTAGATGTTGCAGTAAAACCAGTTTTTATTTAAATGAGTTTTTACTAGGTAAAAGTAGTTTTTGCTGCAATAAAGCAAATGTTTCTTAAGAAAATAGAATTTACCTACCGCTTCATCATTCACTTGAATGTACGTATTCGTTAGATGCAACGGATTTATTACTAGATGAAACGCCTTTTAGACGATTTAATTATAGTTGACAATTTTTGGGTCCATCTGCACCTAAACCTACTATCATATAATTTAGTCTACCCACTAAAAGTTATAGTAGCTGTAGTTATTTGCCGACTAGTTGCTAACACAAACGTTGATTTATCTAATAGAGGTATTAGAATAGTATTAAATCATAGACAAAGTATTTAAAAAGGAGCGCCTTAATTTCTGAATACACATATAACATTGCAGGATAATAATAACACGCGTGATGGCGGATATATCGCTAGCGAAGCGTTCTCTGCTCAACAATCCGTCAAAAAGAGCGATAATGGAACGATCCAACTCGCGTTCCACGTGCCTCGCTGAAGTCCAGGTAATCAAGTGTTAATTATGTTACAGGATTATCATCACGAGGGTGTCTGCCGATATATCGCTGGCAAAGCGATCGTTACTCAATAACCCGCCAAAGAAACCGATTATGGACAGGTCAAACTCGAGGTCAAATTGCTTAGCCGAGGTTCAGGTGCGGTGAACAAAGATATGACATTCTGGCAGTAGTTAGAGCTTTCAGCTCCTAATATATATAACCTTTCCATGAGTTTCTTAGAGACACGGGCCGTTTGTTGTTGGTGGTCAGTGAGGTATATAAAATCTGTATGATTTTTGATGCAATTGATTGAAATGTAAAGACAATATGCAAATAGGAATCAGATATAGATGAAGTAAATAACCTCACAGAAAATAAACCTAAAAACATTTAATCTTCAATTTAGAATAAACTTACAATTACAATAACATTAATTGATATAATTTATCTTACAAACAAATCATAAACCCATTTCAATGGAGCTTTTTTGAAAAATGGAATAAAAAATAATGCACCAGAAAAAATATGTAAATGTAAAAGAGAAATTTAAAACAATTACAAATACATGCACAGAGTTAGTACGTGTTATATAAAAGACACTAATATAATAATAAGAAAAAATGTATCGACCAAAGACCCACCATCAACAACTCTGTCTTTCAGAGACTACTAACAGTCCCCAATTCTCATAACAGTATTTCGTAAACTGCTGATTAACAAATAATGTATGTATCAAATATATATCATCGTCCATTCATCACAGTACATACATACTGGAGATTGCTTTACGTTGTAGTTTACTTAGCTTCCATTCATACACATCATACATTTGCATTGTATTGAACTAATCAAAAATTCAAATTGTAATTACTCCAGTTACTAAAGATTGAAATATTTTAAATTATGTTTTTTTTTTCACATCTTGTTTATAAATCTAACACAAATACTAACTCTTAAATTTAATATTAATTCATATACCTATATAAGAGATTGTTCAGCACGCCAATTCTACTAACTACAACGAAATAAATATACTTAACAAAATGTCTAATGTTATCGCAAGTCATATTTATAAAAGAATTTCTCTTATTACAGGCTGAAATAGAACGGATATTCGACTTGGCAAGGACCCTACAATTGGTAGTGTTAGATTGCGACACGATAAATCATCCCTCGCAATTAGCCAAGACGTCCCTGGCGCCTACTATTGTATATTTGAAGATATCTAGTCCAAAGGTGAGAAGCCTCTAACAGTATAAAGAGTATTATCATTATACCAGCCTTTAACTGTCCACTGCTGAACATAAACCTCCCCCTTGGGAGGTTTTTCCAGTAGTTTCCACGCTTGGCAGGGGATTGGCAACCACAGTTAGGCTTTAGAGATGTTTTAAGAGGGACGCTGCTGCCCATCCCTCGCCCTCCCTTAGTCGCCTCTTACGACATCCGGGATAGGAAGGAGTGGTTTATTCTATGCCAGACCGCACGGCTTAGACCAGTAATAATAAATAAATATAGATACAATTATAGAAAACATATTACTCTGTGAATATTCCTTCTGTAATGCTGCCCATAATACAAGTATTTATTAGCGACTCGTCTACATACATATCTATTTTTTATTAAATAAAATGTTTCTGGCTATTAATGTAGTTTCCTACGAGTGAAAGAATTTTTATGATCAGTAAAATATTTTTCTCAAACATGCTTGGAAATGTGAGCATTATTTTGACAATCTTCTTAGAGATAAATCAAAATTACCGTACTGTGCAGATACATGCGGGCAGCGGCCGGCAAAAGTTGTATGAAAATTCATAACTGTCGTGTATTGCGGCCAGATAAATTACTATGTAAACTCATATCTGTCCTATAATTTAAAAATGGAATGACCTTGTACTTCGAAACATGGCTACTAAGGAGGTAACTAATACAAGGTTTTATTTAAATTTTGAACTGGCTTGCAAATAGAAAGCTGTTTATTGAAAAAAAAAAAAAAAACAAAGGAACATTATGGTGCGTGAAAAATTATTATTGTTCGTTATTCGTCATTGAACTTAAAAAGTAAAATTGTAGTTTTTGATTTCCGCGCATTGTTTGAGAAAAGTACTATACAAGCCTTGGCCACAACTAGGCATTCATGGACTCACGTATCTGTGTATTTGCATGTTCGTCCATCAATGCCTCAGTTGCTGGCCGCTGCAGTAATGTACTATTAATTTATCCATATGCCTATTGTAATACGTGTAAATACATACTACGCACAATTATTTGATCCTACATACATACATACTTGTATATAAGGACCGTTTTTATGGCAATCTGTGAAAACTATGTTCAACAGTGGACGAATAATGACTTATATAAAATAGGTTTGTGGGCGATAAAAGAAACCAAGATAGGTAATTAGAAATATGTATATTAATAAAGGAAGCTTAGAAAACTAGAGCCGTGAAGGGGAGTCAAAAAAGAACAATAGAAGGAAATGTCAATTGTAAATTTTGAAAATAAGAATACGAAAACTATAAGGCCTTGCAATGTATTTGAGGTCATTGCTCCATCTAATAGGAGGGGGAGGGGTCTTCCTACAATGCGTTTGCCTCTATGGAGATGCCACTTAAGAACCTTTCTTCCTCATCGGTTGTCTGTTCTTCAAGCTACGTGACCAGCTCATTACCATTTCAACTTTATCCTTCCCTTAATTGTAAATAATATTTTGTAATTAAATCTTCCAGGTGTTACAGCGATTGATCAAATCTCGCGGCAAGGGGCAGAGCAAAAACCTGTCGGTGCAGATGGTGGCCGCGGAGAAGCTGTCGCAGTGCCCCTCCGACATGTTCGACGTGATCCTCGAGGAGAATCAGCTCGAGGACGCCTGTGAACACATAGCTGAGTATTTAGAGGTACGTCACATGTATCGAGTCGCAGGATATCAAATTAATTAGACTATCTATAGATAGTTGGAAGTTTCATGTACTTAATTGAATATTTATAGATAATGAATGAAGGAATGACAGAATGAATGAATGAAAACTCTTTATTGTACTCTTCCAAGAATGATACAGATTATAAAGATTATGTACCCAACGAAATGAATAATTAATTATATAAAAGCAAGATAAAGAAGCAACAATAGCAGGTGTTATCGCTAAATAGGGATCTCTTCCATGCAACCTTAGGATGGAGAGGAATAATCAAGTTTTGTGTCTGGTCAAGGCGTAACAGTAAAATAATAAGACTAAAGAAGGAGAAAAAAGGGCTAAAAATAAATTTTAATAAACAATATAAATAAAAAATATATTTACACATGATAATAATAAAATACTTATACTAACATAAATAAACACAAATAATAAATAAATAAATAAATAAATAAATAAATGATCAAACATATATAAAGCCAGATATACTAATATATATTAGGAACTACGACGGAGATGATTTTGTTCAATAGTAACTTAATAATTTAAATATATATATATATATATTCTTTATTGCACTTCAACAATATACGAGTATGCGACGATTAGTGTAACAACTTGTTAGCAAGGGAGGGCTTATCTCTGAAAGAGATCTCTTCTCCAGCCAACCCAGTGTAGTTAGAGAGAGAATAATTTAATTATTATATATTTAGAAAATAAATGTACTTTAAATAAAACTTTATTTATTGTATTTCTTAAATGAAATAGACACTTAAAAATGGTTACTTATTATAGTTATTATAATTTAAAATTTCTTATTTTGAACCATGATTATAATAAAATATTATAAAATTTAATTTAATACTGAATTAAGAGCAAAGATATGAAATTCTATTGTAACAAAGTCTAAATGTTTGTTTCGGCATCACGCAAAAACTACTAAACCAAATTGGATGCAGTTTCCATAGTTATGTTCCTGAAGATCTTATTTAAAATCTGGTCTATGTTTTATTTTGATACATTATCTAGAAGTGGTCGATCTAATTGGTTTTTCTACCTCTGAAATCTACGGGTACTAAGTAGCGAACAACGAGCTAGCTATAAGTAAAAAATTTGCGACACAAAATTATATTATATATATAAAAATAAAATAGTTTTAGAATGTGCAAACAAAATATTAGTACGGAATCCTAAATATTAATTAATTAAGTTTACTCGAACAAAAATTGATATTGTTTAGACGTACTGGCGCGCGACGCACCCGCCGGCGGCGGCGACGGGCCCGGGCGGCGCGGGCGCGGCGGCCGGGCTGCCCGCGCGCGCCCTGCCGCACGCGCACGCGCACGCGCTGCACCACGCGCACGCGCAGCCTGGTGAGTCCACGCACGCACGCACGCACGCACGCACTCGCGCCCACGCGCCCACGCGCCCACGCACACTACATTACTACTCACCTACGTTGCGTATGACTACCCGCTCTCGTTTTATCTTTCACCATCACTTGACGAGAGATGAGTGTGGTACGCACATTCACTACCGCTGACTGATGACTGACTTACGTTACATATAAACTACCCACTCTCGTTTTATCTCTCACTATGAGATAGCAAATGATATTATGATATAATGGGCATAACAGTTCACACGATTCAACGAATTAATAAGTAATAAATAATTCCTTATTAGGGGATAGATACACAGATGATGAACTGATTCCTTTTAAACTGTGACGAAGATGTTGTTTTAATGTCAATTGATGGTATACAGACGCTATTACTCATACCACTGACACTGTTTAATTAATGATGCTATAACTGCATGCGTAATCGTGTATTCCATCTGTTGATCCACCCGCACACCCTGGAGGACACCGCGAGAGATCTGACTCCTATAACTACGAGAGGGACAGAGGTAATCAACACAAGTATCGCATCAAACAAAATTATTTTATTGTTACATTATTTTGACTTTGTAAAATACATTTAAAAGACTCGTAAGTTCAACAGTTGGATTATTTTTAAAACAAATCGTTTAAGTATTGTCTTATTTTTTAAAAGAACGTGAATTTTCCTCCAATATTTGTATCATAATCATGTTATTTATTTTGTTCATTTTTACTAACGAGGGTAAGCACTGGACTATTAAATGTTGTAATTTGATGTTGTCCCTCCCATATCCTGGACATATAGAACAACCAATAATAATACCCAACTGTCCACTGACTTCCTCCTGTTCATTTCAGTACAAGCCTCAGGACAAGCCCACTAACAGCCGAGCGAAGACCATTATTCCAGTATCCCTATAGCAGACACTCCGCAGATGGCCCCCCATCCAGGTTTTAACCATGTTTCGCGGCTCCCGTCCGCTTAACCAGCTTACTAGCGATTGATTGAGGGTGCCGCTTTACTAATTGTCTCGTTTGATTTTGCAAAATATTTAACCTCAAGCTTCAGGTGGACGTTTTTTTCCTTTAGGAACTCCGTTTCGCTAAGGTCCTTTTCATCAGTTCTCTGTAATAACTCGATCATCAGCCGATCTATTCTACACATAACAGACAAGAAACACTAAGACGAGCCGCTACAGTATGCTTTCGCGTCCAGCTTCGCCGGTTCCGGACTGACCGGCTCCGGGGCTCGCTTACAATATGCTTCTCCACAGCGACGCCGTCTCCGCCACCCACCGCTGACGTCGTGCTGCCGTGTCCCGGCAAAGTGCACAATCCCGGCGAGACGCTGCTGCAGATGTCGCTCAGTCTAGTGTCTTAGATCTTAATCGGTAGCCTTTCGATTACTCGGTCACCGTAAGTCTGGGTGCCCCCGCCCGTCTGCGACCCGCCCGTGTGCCGTTTGCAGTGTGCTCATCCGCCCCGGCTTCCTCCCACCGAGTTTATCCCAGAAGTGCAATTTGGATGATACCCCATTGAGAGAGTCCACGTCTGTTCTCAGACGATTTCTAACTCGGGTTTCTAGTCAGCTGCATGTGTTTTTTTGAGTTTTACAACCGGTAGTTCTCGGCCGGGCAACGGAGGTCCGGCTCGGATCGTACCATAATCGTTTCGATGGTCCGCAGGCGGCAGGCCGCGGGCCGTGCGGCCCGAGCGGCTCGAGGAGGAGTACTACCCGCGCGAGCGGTACCCGCGCTACCCGCGGGAGCCCTACCCGCGCGACTACCACGAGGGCTACGCGGGCGAGTACCCGGCGGGCGGCGAGGCGTACGGGCACGACTACACGCGCGAGGCGTACGCGCGCGAGGAGTACGCGCGCGAGTACGGGCGCGAGGCGGGCTACGCGCGGGACGAGCGCGCGCGCGGCCGCGAGCGCGACGCCGACGACTACGGGCCGTCGCGCCGCGCGCTCAACGCCGTGTAGCCGCGCCCGCGCGGCCGCGCCGCCGCCGCCGCCGCCGCCGCCGCTGCCGCCGCCGCCGCCGCCGTTAGTTTCAACGTGGTGCTTCTGAAACCGGTTGTTTTGCGGTTTCGTGTATCCTTAATATTTTATTGTCGCGCATTCCCCCGGGCCCGCCCCCGGCGGGCGCCGGCCGCCGCCTCGATTCGCTGAGCTTTAGTGACACGCTTCCGCGGGCGCGTGTCCCCGTTTCCGTTTCCGTGTATGTGTAAGAACAGGACGGAGAGACCGCTGCGTGTACGTCGGAGAGAGATGATAGTTTAGGTTAGCGTACTGAACCGCTCGCACTCGATGGTACGGAGCTCGCGTCGATTGTATAAATTTTACATAAAAATAATTTTAGTACCGTTAGATATTATACGTTTCCCATTTTTTGAACATACTCTGTAATTATATTGCATCGTCTGTACTCCATTGTTGCAATCATTTGTAAATAAAATACTTTATATCGATCAGTTTGTATTTCCTTTTGCACAAAATGTTGATTCATAAATCGTAATACACTTATATAGGTATAAATTTCTACATTTAAAAGTTCTCTACTAGGTTATCTAGTAACCCTTTCATTTAGAAAACCAAATACCAAGACCTCCACTCTCACACAGAACACCTGCTTCGTTGAACTCTTATTTCGTATTAGTACGAGTACGTATCATACAGTCCAAGATAGAATGGAAAATTCCTTCCTTTTCCGTGGGAGTCATAAAAGGCGACTAAGGGAACTTAATGGTCGAGGAATGGGCAGTAGCTACCCTCTTAAAACACCATCAAAATCTAACTGCAGTTGTCAATCCGTTTTCCAAGCGAGACCACTACTGGCAAAATCTCTTATGGGTGAAGCCTATGTTTAACAGTAGATAGTTGACAGCTGATACAATGATGATGATGATGATGATGTCCGAATACATTGTACATTGCACTTCAATCACCACAGAAGATACTTTACTTTTATCTTAGACATAAGATATACGACATAAATTCCATTAGTTTAGGTCTCGACGGTATTTGCTTTCTTCAACTTTCACATTGTTTTTAAATGAAAAGAAAGAATATTAATTTACCTATTTAAGAGTTGCAGGTAGAGTTTCTTTATACTGTTTCGCCCATAATACCTTCCATGCGTTGCCATTCCTGAGTACTCAGGTGTTATTCGTCTGTACCCTGTAAATTCACGCCATATCCCACCCTTCAAACCGAAACACAGCTATGCAAACACAACTGCTTTACGATAGAAACACGAATGGGACAGAGGTACCTATACAAACGATTTTTGCACAAAATCTCCGTCTGGTAAGTCAAAGTCGAGTTGATAAATCTGGACAACTAAATAAAATGCATTGAGTAAACATAATTCAGTTTATTACAGACGTTTGCATTCGACGATCTTTAACATCACAAGTGAACGAGTGCGCCATCTCTTCATAAATAAATTAAACATTAGAATATATAACAGATAAATAAGATCTAATTATAAGTAAACGCTCGCTTGCCTCTTTGGTGTCTACTAGCTAAATATATAACATTAGTTATATTTGGTGCCAATTCTGCACTGCTGAACTAAAAGGAAGTCAAATACACGACGATCGAAGTCAAAATATGGGATACACACAAAAAAGAGATCCTCCGATAGAAGTCAAACCAATATCTCCGAGTTTTTTGGTTTGAGTGCATTAGAAATTGCTTCATCTAAAAACAGAAGCAGTCTTGTACACCAATTCAATGGATAGACAATCTGAAACGTTGCTACATTCATTCAAAAATGCACTTAGCCCTTTTGGGCTAAGTGCATTTTTTCGCAATTTTGTGCAATTGCTTTTGCAAGAAATACTAAAAAACATTCGTTTGATGGAACATTCAGTAAAGAGTACTAGTAGAGTCTAGTCCACCAATTCAATGGATTGACAATCTGAAACGTTGCCACATTCATTCAAAAATCCACTTAGCCCAAAAGCAAGAAATTCCAGAGAACACTCGTTTGGTGGAACATTCGTTGTAATCAGGATTTTCATTTGTTAAGAAACTAAACATGAGCATCTTCTGTATTCTAAGTGTGAAATCGTTCAGATTTTATAAATAATTCGATATTTTAGTTCAGTAATGCAATACAATTGGCACAAGTATATACAACATTTTAATAGACGTATTTAATACAATTAGATTTTTTTGCAATTAGGTAACAAACGCAAACTGTAGTGAGGTGAAACTTTTTGTGGACTAGATAACAACTATTCTATTTGATGATATAGCCTGAATACCCAGAAGACAGATATGTAACTATGACAAGGAAATGTAATTATGAGCTCATACATTGTTGGAGTACAGTAAAAGCTCTTTATTCGCGGGTTACACGTTCCGTAAATATGCCGCGTATACAGATACCTTAAATATAGACAGCCGAAGCACTTATACAGTGGCGTTAGCATTTGACAACGTACTTTAGATGTAGTTGTGATAAAGTCTGTTTTACTTTTTTCTTAGTCCATTTGCTGTCTCGTTTAAAAAAGATACATAATCTTTTTTAATAGTATGTACCGATTAGATCCGCGAATATAGGAATTGGGTCGCAATTTTTTAATCCTCGAATAGTGAAAACGAGAATAAGGAGCTTTATTTATTTAGCAAATGGTCTTACTTTAAAGGTAAGTAGGGTCAAATTGACCTATGTGGCTTTATAATGAGACTTAATACAATTAAAGGCTTTGAAAGAAACTATTTGATCATTTATACATGTTTTTATGTCATAACAGCAGCAAGGTTTTCGATCAACTTTTAAATCGTAATTGAACGATTTGATAAAACGCTAAATGTTTGAAGTGAAACCATTCAAATATCTTGAGGGCCCATAACGTATTGCTGTCATAAAAGTCCTTTTTATAAAGTTTAAAGTTTCGTATAAATAAAAGTAAAATTGTAAAATAAAAGTAAATTGGCAATACTTTGTTATGCTTTTCTCCCAAAAATATCACACTTGTAATAAGTTGTATATCTAGTTCATAGCTGTAATAAATTACCTAAGAAAGAAAGAAAGAAAAATATTTTATTCAGTGCAATGTAAAAAATACAATATAAACAACAAACGAGAAAAAAAATGAGCAAATAAAATGTACATATAATTAAACTTAATTTACCATAATTAAAAATTAACATAAAATAATCATTTTTACATCCAAAAATGCACTGAAATGGCTCCACTCAGCTTTAATGTATGTCCTAGGTGAACATACAGCTGGTTTTCAGTGGCACCAAAAATATATATATAAAAGGGGGGAGAGAGAGGGCACTATTTATAATATTCATGATAATAATTAAAACAAAATTACAACTAATAAATACAAACCAATTACATATACTAGAAAGAACAAAATAGAATAAAATAACATTAATAAATATAAACATTAAACATATATATACAACTACTTTGCCGTAAGATTTATAGGTTAAATAGTACATAGATAATTCTTGTATAGTTTTTTAAAGGTGAATAATGATTTGGCGTTCCTAACTGGCGGTGGAAGAAGTTTTCTTTCTTTCTTTCTTTCTTACCTATATTTGTATACCAACATTTCTTTCTTAAAAGAAGCTAGATATTTTTAATAGATTATTTACTTTCATTAAGTCTATGCAGCACAAATATCAATAAATTGGAGACAATTTATAATATACACATTATTTCTCAAAAAAGCTGAGGATTTTTGCAATTTTTTTTTTATCATACATAGAATGGCAAACAAAGCCAACGGCACACTTGATGGAAAGTGGTAACCGTCGCCTATAGACATGAGCAGTACCATAGACCTATACTGTTACACCCATGATACTCCATGTGCTTTACCATTCCAGAAGATAGAATAGAAAATTGCTAGAATTATTCAATGAAATTATAAACTTTTTTTGGCAGAGACAAAATCGTATGACCTTTACATATAAAAGTTTTACTCATGTCAATACACAACATAAACGTCGTAAGTTACTTAAGCTGATCCATTAAAGATAAGTCACTCACATGAGTGTTTACCAAATGTATCATAAGTCAATTACATGTTACATGAATACGACTTACAGATGTAAATGTAACCTATAAACAATCTCTGCAAGGCCTGGAGTTAAAAAATTCATTACTCAGTAATTAATGACCAAATCTCTACAAATAGTACCATATACACTGATTAGCAACTGAACAAATTTATATATATATTTATATATATATATATATATATATATATATATATATAAATTTGTTATATATATAATATGAGGAGGTAAATAGTTCTGTTTGTTTATACTGAAAATTATTGAATCTAACTCCATCAATTCACAAACTTAAAGATAACTCATTATAAGGTCAATTTACTTAGACAAATGACAAATAAATCAACGATAGATACATTTTCGCTATCACATACATGAGAACAAGACAACAACGTTTAGCGTCTTTTTCCTTGATTCTGCGTGTGATATCGAAAACGTTTGTTTCAAGTCTGTCAAGTTTCACACCAAATTATACTTTGTTCGTATTAACAATAAGAGTTACATTTCTATTCAATGTACACAACGCGTGTTAGTAAGCTGCATATTGCAATATCTCTTTGGTTTCACACTTCATATTAGAGATTATACCGTACGTTATCCGTTATTAGCGTCCAATATTTACACTATACAAAACTAAACCTTATTTACACTGCACAAGAGTCGCTTTCTCACTGTCCTTTTACAACCTGGGTTGGATATAGCTTTGAGACTGCTGACTATGTTTAGTCAGATGTAAAGATAGTCGTTTTTGGTCTCTTTACAGTAACTAATGCTTGGGAACTTGTATACAGGGCTGTATCTCTTCTCGGCTTCGGCCTCCAGAGACAGCGCCGAGAGAGCTCTCGAAGGTTCGTCTTCTTCCTCAGTGGGTTCGGGGGGTGGGAGGGCTCGAGGGGGGAGCGGTGGGGCGCGCGGGTTCCTCCTCACTCGGAAGTGGCAGTCAGAGTCTGCTGGCCACGCCCGTTGCACTTGAAGCGGGAAATCGTCTGGATGCAATTTTCTCTCGCACTCCTGTGATGGACACACCTGGAAAGACAGATATTTCAATGAATATAATATAATTTTGATACTTATCTGAAATCTACATATATGTACATATAAAAGGGAGGGCGAGGGATAGGCAGCAGCGTCCCTCTTAAAACATCTCTAAAAGCGTAACTGCGGTTGCCAACCCGCCTGCCAAGCGTGGCAACTACTGGCAAAACTCCCCTTTTAGCGAAGCCTTATGTTCAGAAGTGGACAGTTAAAGGCTGAAATAATAATAATAATTAAAGTTTTGTATGGGATTCGCTACTTCTTCGGGTTACTTTAGATAGATGGCGTTGTACATTTTTCTTTAAAAAAAGGACATAGACTATTTTTTAACCCGGGCACTAGGCAATGTCGTAGTTATAAGCTAGTTTGTAATACTTTTCTAAATGTAACTTGGAATGCAGTCCCATCTGATGGTAACTGATAATTGTCGTCTGTAACATGAACAACACCATGGACATACCAATATTGAGCTTTTTTAGATGAAATTAACACGACTGTCAGATGGTACAGTGACGCCATCCTTGCCAGCATTAGTTTTCCAAATCACATCACATCTAAATATAATCAGCACCATTTTGAGGCAAATGTAAATAGACTATTCGAGGGCCATCACCGCTTTCCATCACGTGAGATTTAGATCAATCGCGGAGTTCTTTTAATATAAAAAAAACCTGAAAAATAAAGTGAGAATTTTTCGAATGACTGTCTCATCTAATTAGAAAATAAAGCACTAACCTCATAGAGCGAGAATCTCTCCACACCTTCAGTGGAGTCATAGCAATGCAGCAAAATAGCTAGTAGCTCGTCGACGGTGGTTCGCTCGCTGGTCAGCAAGCATTTATATTGAGACGAGGACATCAGAGCCGAGTCGTATATCTTCACAAGTCCACCGGGCCGCATTTGTAAAGAAAATCTGAAAATTAATAAATACTAATAAATATTACTGGAAATATCATATGGCGCCATCTATTTTAAAGTAAGTAAAGCTTGTAGTTTTTTTTTTAATGGGTGATAATGGAATGATGGCCACGTCAGCATTATCGGTCTACATTGGCGGAGCACCAGTGAGGGATGATAAGTAAGGATGAAAAGGCAGGTCAGTTAGCCCATCGTGTTGAATACATCTGGAATTCAGCACGATGGTTTCCAGGGGAGGACCACGTGGAGATCGACCGTACATGGTAGATAATGGGACTGGTAGTCCGCATAAGTAACAATCCCTTCCTCTGAAGGTCTTATTATTTAGTTGGAATGGCCATTATCTTAAAACCTTTACAATTTTAGTTTTTAACCCATACCTTTTAAAATGAAACAATATCGTTAATTTAAAATTTAGATCACTGAATTTTAAACATTTATTCGAATTCGAATTTTTCTTTCTGGCCAGTATTGGTTTTATAGATATAGACAAATCCTCCTAAATCAAGCTACGCAATACCAACAATCGACAGACAACTGCCGAGTAATATTTCGAAACAATTCATTAGCACATCTAGTTCACAACAACAGTCCAAACTGTCAGCATGGTGGAACACGATACATATGGTCAATAAACTGGCACGGGATCTTTTAAGTTTATTATCATCTCTCATGTTTACGGTACAGGAATAGAAAGGCCGGAAGAGGACAGAAAAACGACAAATGCGCTTCTTTTTTCGGCGGCTAGCCGGTGGTCCGCGGCGAACGAAGAGTTATGGTGAGATGATTATAAGATGTTCCGAGGAAACTGGATGAATGTGATTTATGTGTTAAAATCGCGAGTTGGAACTGCAAAGGTTGGAAATTTATCGATTTATCTTACCAGTATTTAGTAGCCGTAGATTTCACCATGATTTTTATATTATTATTGTAAAAGTTAAAAAAATATTTATAATAGAAAATATAGTTGAACGCAGTTATTGACACATGTTCGTATGTTATTGTCTGATATATGTTTATGACTTTGTACGATTTAGAAAATGCAATTTATAAGGTGTTAAAACTTCCAATAGATTTCTAGTACGGTATTTAGTCAATAGATGGGGTTAAAATTGAAATTGTGATATAATGCTCTTGCAGGGTAATGTAATTACCCTGGCACTATGTTTTATAAATAACTTTACCCGTAAACCGATTTATTTTTGTATGTCGTTGTAATTGCGACTAAGGTCGCAATTACATGTTCTTCTCGTAGTGAATAATTACTTTTGTTTCTCCTGTCATTTCGGTGTATTTTTGAAGCATCGGTGAGTAAAGATAAGTTTTATCCAGGAAACAGAATTCCCACTTGTGGGCGTAAGTATTGCTATTAAACTTACTTAGAGTATCCCTTTGGATGGCAAGCTTGCAGCGCCGCGGGCCTGGCATCATCATCCAGCACCAGCGTGGTCCTCAGCCCAGCTGCTCGGACCCGCACCTCCATGCTCAGGTAGAACAGCCTCGGATCCCGGTGCTTCATCCGAAACTTGCCCAGGAGTGTGGCCACCACCTCTCGGGCCCTGGTGCCCCATGTCACGGATAAGGTCTTGTATTCGATATCTGGGCGGAGACAGCGGGCGTACACTTTGATTGTTGTCTGGAATGAAGAAAGCTTTAATTAAACATTTTATTTAATATGTTCGCGGCTGTAGTCACAAGTGGGGTGGTCACAGGTATTTGATAACAGAAACAGATTCACAATTGTAATCCCTGATGGAGTAGTGCAAAGGATTTGCAAATAGTTTCGTAACATTCATTCGACTTGCTTGTATTTCGCTAAGCGTATTAGATTCCAATCCGATAGAAGGCCAGTCTAACGCAGTATCTTAGATTCATAGTCGTATTTTATTTTTTCTCTACAAGTAGGTGTTTTGTTTAGAACTATATCCTTTTCAGACCCAAGATTTTTTTTCTTTCCGATTAAATATATTTTCGTGTTTTGGAGCCAAGCCATCTTGCCGGCATGCACGAGACTACTGCACCACCTAACCGCTAAAATGATTTCTTATTGGCTGGTTTAGAATCTCACTAATCAGGTCGACCTCCACGTGGTTCCCCCTGGAAACAATCGCGGTTACTTCTCGTGGAATTCTTCACGATGGACTAACTGACCTGCTTTCATCGTCACCTATCATCTATCACTGGTACCCCGCCAGCGTATACCGTTAGCACAGGCGGGGTTACTATTGCGTTATACCCATTAAAAAAAAATCAGGTACCTATTATCAATGTATTTTTTAAATAAAAAAGCACCAGAGTATTACTTGAAAAAAGAATTCTTAAAAGTCAAAAGAACTCTACGCCAAGTCCTTTGCGAGGTGGAACAACAATAAATATACTAAAGCAATTAAATGCATTATCACTATACAACCGAATGTGGGCTACACTTCAAATAATAGATAAATAAACAGACAGATAATTAATTATTATTACTCTCGTATTTTATTAGAACATCTCAATAATAATAGGAGTCTAATAAAATTGATATACAGACATTAGAATCTATGTATATATATCGTAATTATTTGTAATTCAATGCATTCAAGCGAATTGATTACTGCGGATGAAACTTTTAGGGTTTCGTAGTCAGTGCAAATTGTTTTATCCTTTAACCTGAATCATCATCATCATCACATCAGCCGTTAAGTGTCCACTGCTGAACATAGTCCTCTTCTATTGGGTGAGGGGGGGGGGGGGTATAAAGTCCTTTGTAAGAGTCACTACTATATACCCTCCTATACTGGGGGGAAAGGGACTGTTAGTAATGAAGACTGAGAATCCCATTGCTAGCATTATACCTAAGCAGGTCGACCTCCTCGCGGTTCCCCCTGGAAACTATCATGGTTAATTCCTGATGAATTCATCATGACGGGCCAACTGACCTGTTTTCATTCTCATCTATCACCCTTCACTGGTGCTCCGCCAGCGTATCCCGTTAGCGCAGGCGGGGTATACCATTTTCACCCATCAAAAACATGCACCAAGTATATACTTACTAGTTTATAGAATAAAATTTTCGTTGCCTTCTTTGACAAATAGACCTTTGTATCAAAACAGTACATCATAATTAAAAAAAAAAAACACATGCAATTTGGTGCAATAGTTTTTGTGTAATCCCTAAACAAACATACACACATACAACAATTAAAAAAAAATTGTTTTGAATTATCATCTTTCTCAATTATATTCTAAATTCAAATTCAAGTCATCTTTATTTAAATAGACTGCTTTACAAACACTTTTAAATCGTCAATTTTTTTATCTACTGCAGTGTTCAGAAGGTTGTTATCTGTTGAGAAGAGCCCGTAAGAAACTCAACAGTTACCTATATACAGATGTCGTACAGTTACAATTTTATTATATGTGTATGGACAATAGACTAATAGTTGTCTTTTTTCTCATTTTTCCCTTTAAATTTAACCTTGCTGGTTACTCTGAATCATAGACTATGTTATTTACTTTTCTAATACAATAAATTATTTGTTATAATATTATTTTATGTATAGTATATATTTATTTTACATATTATGTGTATGTTTACATTAATATGATTATATGTTTATAATATATTAATATATTAAATATTACTTTATGTTTCCTCTATTCAATAATGCGCCGCCTACTTATTTCTCGGTTTGCTCAATGGTTGATTGGTAGAGAACACCATTTAGTTAAGTCCACCAAATGCACATAAAAATCCACTGCGCATTAAAGTTTAAATAAATTAATAAACAAGATATAATATAAAATAATAAAAACAGATCTTATACGCCTTAGATGAAGTCACAGGTGTTGTTGGGCGGACAATTATTTCATTATAACAAATAATAACAGGAAAACAACAAAATACCTCAGCTTATTCTCATACGACGCTGGTCACTGTTGCATTGCTATGTTAGTCATAGAATGCAGTGGCATTCTAGACTAGCGACAGTGCTCAAGAAAATGTCACAATAAATATATCCAGCAAACGTAATGCAACGCTTGGATTGCGGAAAATCAGGTTCTCACGACACTCTGAATGCTGCAGCGAACAAGTACATAGGCACCTAGGGCTTTCACAATCGGCTAATATGCAAACAAATATGGAATGAAACAATTCACAGAACCTATGCTTCATTGCCACGGTATTTGAACAGTTTGTTGGTGACTTATTAACTAGAGGTGTGGATACAAATTAATAATTTAATAAATACATAGCATAAACTAAATGTAATTGTCCCAATGTATATTTCATTTATTTTTAAAACCGATTAGGGCGTTAATAAATACTAACTGATACAATAGCGCTCAATTCTTATAAGTTTGGAAGCATGAAATTTTGCTCCGAAGTCCCTTTCACATTTCTATAACGTAATGAAAAAATAAAAATATTTTTGTAAAATTATCCTGTAGGGAAATACGAGTTTGTATAGAATTTGGGCATTAAATCTCATAATACAAACACGAGCAGTTAAGTAAAGCTATAATAAAAATCACATGAAAATTCCACTTAGATATTTCAATTTCGTAAAAAAAAACAAATGGATAGACTATCAAAATATGAAACATATTTTAATTATAAAAAAAAATACCGAAATAATGTTAAAGTACTCACATGAATATTATGAGGATGGAGCGCTAGGCGCATACGCGGCACCGGTACAAGGGCGGCCATGACACGTGCGCACGAGTCGCCGCGCGATCACTACTAATGTTATTATCCTGGAGTAGCGCAGGCGCAGGGCGCCGGATATCGACTCACAGCCCTTACAAAGGGTAAGGGGATACATTACCACCTGTCGAGCCCAGTGAACAGGAAGTCTACACAATTGTGTGGCTACACATCGATTTATTCGCAGGCGGCCGTGAGAAATATACTCGTATTGTCATTGGGGAAGTGCGAATTACAATATTCAACATTTTATTGGATGGGACGCTTACAATTTTGTTATCCTGAATAGACGATTAATAAAAACTAACGATTGAATCTTATAATTTATTGCCAGAGGGAGACTTTGTACAAAAGTCGATTGCTTGGGTACCTCTGTCCCATTCGTGTTTCTACCGTGAAGCAGTTGTGTTTACATGGCTGTGTTTCGGTTTGAAGAGTGGGATATGGCGTGAGTTTACAGGGTACAGAGGAATAACATCTGAGTTCTCAGAAATGGCAACGCATGGGGGGTGTCATGGGTGAAACGGTATACTCTGTTTTATCCATGGTACTGCTCATGTGTCTATAGGCGACGGTTACCACTTTCCATAAGGTAGGGCGTCAGCTTGTTTACCGTTCTAAGTTGTATAAAAAAAAGTAGCTACAACAAACATCAATTTAATTTGATTCTAATATAATCTGGCTTCTCCTTTTGCTAGCAATAGAAATCTATAAGAAATTGTCGGCAAAAATAAAAGGCCCTCACTAAACTTGAACGGACTCTTCGTGGAGGAAACGAAAGAGCAAAAACTGTCGCCGGAAGAGTGAGGAATGCTTGACGTCCGCCACACGGTTGGACTAGCTTCAACCGACTCAGATTATGGTGCATAGCCATTATAGTTATTAAATTGCAAAAAATATAGAATTTATTATTTTATAGTCCCGATATAAAAATAAGTGGTGCTAAAATTTGTCACCTTGTGTGCCCCGACATAGAATGGTACGCCCCTACCTTTCCCGTGGTGTCGTTTTTTTTTATACAACATAGAATGGCAAACAAGCTAACGGCCCACCTGATGGAAAGTGGTAACCGTTGCCTATAGACATGAGCAGTACCATGAACATAACAGAGCATACTGTTTCGCCCATGATACCCCCCATGCGTTGCCATTCCTGAGGACTCAGGTGTTATTTCTCTGTACCCTGTAAATTCACGCCATATCCCATCCTTCAAACCGAAACACAGCCATGTAAACACAACTGCTTCACGGTAGAATCACGAATGGGACAGAGGTACCCAAGCAATCGACTTTTGTACAAAGTCTCCCTCGTAAGAGTCGACTAAGGGACGGCGAGGGATGGGCAGCAGCGTCCCTCTTAAAACATCTCTAAAAGCCTAACTGTGGTTGTCAACTCGCCTGTCAAGCGTGACAACTACCGGCAAAGCTCCCCTTATGGGGAAGGCTTATGTCCAGCAGTGGACAGTTAACGGTTGAAATAATATAATAAAACTTTGTCTGTATCAGTGTATCTCCTAAATTATGTGTGATATTGTGGTGAGAGAAATAATGTTGCTTATGTCATTGATTTTAACAATATTATCAATTACCAGAGCGAGACTTTGTACAAAAGTCGATTGCTTGGGTATCTCTGTCCCATTCGTGTTTCAACTATAAAGCAATTGTGTTTGCATGGTTGTGTTTCGGTTTGAAGGGTGGGATATGGCGTGAATTTACAGGGTACAGAGGAATAACACCTGAGTCCTCAGGAATGGCAACGCATGGGGGGTATCATGGGCGAAACAGTATACTCTGTTATGTCCATGGTACTGCTCATGACTATAGGCGATAGTTACCACTTTCCATCAAGTGGACCGTCAGTTTGTTTGCCATTCTAAGTTGTATAAAACAAAAAAACGATTACCATTCCATAATCACTCATTAAAAAAAAAAAGTTATTACAAT